GAGCAGACTCCAGAGCGCGCCTCTCCGTCGCGCAGGCTCGCCATGGGCTCTGGGCGTGCGGCGGCATGAAGCGCCCGCCCGCTGCCTCGCTCGCGGCGTGTGGGCCGCTGCCCAAGACGCCCCGGCCCAATGGCGGCGCCGTGGAGGCACAGGGCTGCGGAGGAGGCGCCGCCGCCGACGGCGGCATGGACGTGGAGCCCTCGCGCCCCGCAGGCTGGCAGGACGCGGCCCCGCTGCTGCACGAGGCCTTCGACGCCGTCGCCGAACGCCAGCCAGAACGCGCCGCGGTCGAGGACGAGATCGGCAACGCGTGGACCTACGCCGAGCTGCAGGAGCGCTCGGCCCGCATGGCGGTCGGCATCTCCGAGCGGCTGCGTCGCGGCGCTGGCGCGGCGCAGACGCCCAGCGGGCTTCCGGTGCTCCTGCTGATGCGCCGGGCCAGCCCCTGGGTGGCCGCGGTCCTGGCGATCGCGCGGCTCGGCGTGCCGTCGCTGTCTCTGAGCGGGGACCTCGGCTCGGAGGAGGAGGCCCAGCGCAGCAGGGAGGCCATCGAGGAGCACCGGCCGCGGCTGCTGGTCCTCGAGGGCGCGCTGCGGGCCGCCGCCTGCGCCGCGCCGTGCCTGGCGGTGGCCGCTGCAGGCCTGCTCGACATCGTCGACGCGGCCTGCCTGTCGGTGGCCCGCGGAGCGCTCGGGACAGGCTCGCTGCCCAGCTTGGAGCCCGTCGTGCAGCGCGAAAGACGCAGTCCGGACGAGGCCCTCTATTTTGTCTACACCGGCGGGACCACTTCCGCGTCCAAGTGCGTGGTGGTGACGCACCGCATGGCGGTGCACGAGCTCGAGGTGTATCCGCGCATCTCCCCGGTGACCTGCACGGACAGGGTCCTCCACCAGGCTTCCGCCTTCTGGGGTGCCACCTCCCTCGGCCTCTTCGACGTGGCGTGGGCGTGCGGCGGCTGCCTGGTCCTTGTCGAAGGACCCGCTGGGCCGGCCGAGGTCACGAGGGCGATCGAGGCGCACGAGCTGACGGTGGCCGGCCTCGTGCCCTCGGTCTTGGAGGCGATGGAGGTCGACAGGTGCCCGAGCCTCCGCGTCGCCTTCACCTGGGGCGAGGCGCTCTCCCCTGGGACCATTGTGCGCTGGGGGGGCCGGGTCGCGCTGCTGGACCTCCTCATCGCCAGTGAGTACTGGCTGATCCTCTACGCAGATCACCGGGGCCCGCAGCGTCACAGTGCTGCCGCCAGCGCCGCCGCCGCGGGCTTCCGCCCGGTGCCCGGGGCGCGCCTAACGCTCCTGCCCCCCGAGCCCGACGCGGGCGGTGCCGCAGGGGCCCCGGGCGGCGCGGGCGGCGAGCTCCGCGAGGTGCCCGAGGGCGAGGTGGGCGAGCTCTTCCTGGCTGGGCCGATGGTCAGCCACGTGGGCTACGCCGACGCGGCCAGGAACTGCGGCGCTTTCGTGGACCTGCCGGTCGGGCCCGACCGCCGGCCGGTGCGCCACTTCCGCACCCGCGACCTCGCGAGGCGCAGGCTGGACGGGTCGCTGGAGTACTGCGGCCGCGCAGATGGGTTCGCGAAGGTCGGGGGCAAGTGGCTCGACCTCGCCTCCGTCGAGCGGCGGCTTGTGGCCGCTGGCTGCGCGGAGGCCGCCCTCGTCTGGGACGAGCGCGCCAAGAGCCGGCACGCCGCGGTCGTCCTCGCGGGCGCCTCGGAGCGCTCGGCGCCGCTGGCAGCCCACTCCTCGCGCCTGCGGGGCCTGCTGCCAAGGGACACGCACCTCCACATCCTGCGGGAGCTCCCGCACAACCCGGCGACGGGTAAGGTGCACCGAGGCGTGCTTGTCAGAAGGTTGGCTGACGCCATGCCGCTGCGAGCTCGCACCGCAGCCGAGAGAGCAGCGGCCAGGGTGGGCCTCTCGCTGCTGTGCGGGCTTGCGCTTGCAGCCCGCTGCGGTGTGCGCGGCGCCATGCTGCTGCCCGCCTGCGTGAGGCTAGCCCCTGGGCTGCTGGGCAGCGCGAGGGGGCCTGGCCCGCTGCTGGAGGGACTGCCGACAGGACTCGCAGACCAGATCCGCAACATCGCGGCCTGGCACACCGTGCTGGCCGATGTCGTCGACGGGCGGCAGCTGGCCCTGCTACCATATGTGGCGCTGCTCCTGCTGGACGCTTCTGGCACTGGCGTGGAGCCGCTCCACAAGCTCATCGAGGGCCCCCTCGGCACCATGGGCGCGGCTCTCGTCGCCTGCCGCTGCGCCACGCCGTGGCTGCGCGTGCTGCTGGCGGCAGCGGGGCGCAGGCGGGCCGCGGCGGCCCGCGGTGGCGCTGGCTGGGCGTGGCCCTTCTGGCTGGGCCTGCACCACCTCTTGGACGAGTGGTGCAACAAGTTTTGGCTTGTCTACGAGCACAACTCGCCAACAACAGACGACATGAGCGGGATCGCCAGGGCGCTGCAGCCGCACCTGGGCTCGTTCGGCCGCGTGGCCGGCGAGGACGGCGCTCTCATAGACAAGCTGCAGCTGTGTCTGGACTGCCGCTGCTGGGTGGGGACCGGCGTGCTGTTCCAGGACCGCTACTTCACCACCTCCTTCTTCTGCGGCCCCTGCTTCGCGACCTGGGAGCGGAAGCAGGCGGCGCGGGGGCGGCTGATGGAGTCGGCCCAGTGCTTCGACACGGGCCAGACCCTCACTCGCGTCTCCTTCAGGGCGGACCCGGCGCCCGCGCCGAGCCGCGGCGACGGCGGCGGCCCGCTCGACGCCGCCGCGGCCGACACCGCCGCGCCGGCGCCTGGCCGCCCGACCGCCCAGCCGGCACAGAGGCCCACGCCTTGGGGCCCGCAGCTGGACGAGCTCGACTTCTCCGAGCACGAGGTCGCGCTCGCTCGCAGGCGCCTGCCCGCGGCGGCCGCTGCCAGCGGCAGGCAGCGGGCCGGGGCCCCTGCAGGTGCCACGCCCGTGGCAGGGGTGGTGGAGCGGTGCACGGGCCTCAGCGCCGCAGACCACTCGCCGTCGCTGTCAAGCCTCGAGTCGCTCAAGGTTCAAGAGGGAAGAAACCACACAGACACAATTAATCTTCGATTCCCCCCCAAATATGGGAAAATAAAGGAAGTGGGGGGGAAGACAAAAACCCAGAAAATATAGGAAATATAGGGAATCCTGTTATTTGTGTGTATTTATTTGTGTGCCGTGGGGACCCTTGAAAGGTCATCGCGCTCGTCAGTGCCCTGCGGCGGGAGCTCGGACTCGAGCTCGCCGCGGTCGAGGTGGCGCGCTGTGAGTCGATCGGGGAGCTCGAGGACCTCTGCCAGAAGGCCAGGGGGGAAGTCAGCGCAGTGGAGAAGACGAACGGCGTTCCCGCCACGACCTCCCAGTCGTGGGCAATTCACTCCATCCCGCGCTTCTGGAAGGCACCAGTGGGCTGGCTGATTCGCCTGGACGAGGTTCCAAACCAGGCTGCCATGCACACGGCGTGCCGAGCGCTCGTTCAGAGGCACGCTGCGCTGCGGGCCATGCCATATCGCACGACGGGTGACGAGGCCGTCGCGCAGCTGTGCAATGGGGCTGCCTCCATCTTGATCGTGCTGCGAACGTTGCTGAGCGGCCGTGCGCCTGGTTTCTACGCGGCCGCGTCGCGTGGGCTGCTCGCCGCCTGGCCGCGGGTCTTCGCGACACAGGCGAGCCCAGAGGCGCCAGAGGCGTTGTCATCTGCAGGCTCGGCACACTTCGAGTGGCACCGACTGCGCAGCGAGGAGGAGCTCCGCCAGGCCGCTTTCCTCAGGGCGCGCTCGCGCGGCTTCAAGGCCCCGGCGTCCGTCGCCGTGCTCCACGTTGCGGGCGACGGCAGGGAGCAGGACTCTAGGCCTCCCACATGGGGCCGAAGGAGGTGTCGGAGGATTGTCGGTGATGCGGCGCGATGTGGTGGAGCCTGACCTTCTCCGCGCCGACGCCGCGGATGCATCGGCGATGCAGCGCAATCCTCTGACACCATCCACTCGGACCCCATCTAGGAGGCCTCCAAGGACAGGGCGTTCCTACACATCTCGAAGAAGAAAAAACTGCATAAACATGAACTGCTGGCGCTCCGCGCGGATTTCTTGGCTCCGCGCTGGCCCCCCCCAGCGGAGGCGCCCCTGGCGCGCTCCGCGCGCCAGGGAGGGGGGCCCAGCGCGGATCCAAGAGCTCCGCGCGGACCTCCCGCAGCTCATGCTCGTGCCGCTTCTTCTTCCTCCAACGTCGCGGTGAACCACGCCGTCACGGACGCGGCGTGCATCGTGCCGCTGGTGACCGACCTGCTGGACCTGCACCGCGCCGCCGCCGCCGCGCCGGGCGCTGCCCGTGGCGGCGGGGCCGCCGGACTCGCTGCCCGCGCGCTCGCGGCGGCGGGGCTGCCGCCCGCGAGGAACGGGCTGGAGGTGCAGGAGGCGCGCCTCCGCACGGCACTGGTGGCGTTCGGCGGCAAGTCATGTCGTGGAGGAATGCAGAGCCCCTAACCCGCATGGCACGATGAAGACGTAGCCTCACTCAGGCCCCCGTCGTCGCGTCAGGGGCAGTACTTCTGGGCGGTGTCGTTCGGTGCACCTGCAGGAACAGCAAAAAGCCCTGTCCCTAATGTTCCTGACCCTTCTAACTCAGGTCCCGTCCCAAAGGGTTGGGGTCCTCTTTTGGCCAATCACCATGTGAGCCTTGAATACACGCCAGTTCTTTGAAATTGGTATTTCTGGGTTCCCAGATCGCATTCTACATTATCCGCCTTCCTACTTCAAGAGTCGAGTAGTCTTCCCTCTTCCCTCCTCTTCAGGGGGCTGCGGCAGCTCAATCTACTTCCACCGCCTTCTTATTGAATGTGTCTACGCACTTCTTCCGATCGACGGGTGCCCTCGTAATTCCGCCTCGAGAGCGCGTCAGCGTGAATAAGCGTTCAGTCATCGATGAGACAGAGCGCCGATTTGGAGCCGATTAGCGTCGAGTTAGCTGATTCAGCGTCGATTGGCGTCGTTTCGCAAGAGCCAACAGGATGGCATGGGAGCCTCCCATGAGTTGCCACCGAAGGTGGCGCTGGACCCGCTCGCCGCGGGCGCAGGCACGGACGCGGCGCTCGACGTCACCTTCGGTCAGTTCGTCTCGCGCCAGCGCGGCTACGACCACTACGTGCGCCTGTGCGCGGGGACCTGCCGGGCGAGCGCCGCAGAGAAAAACGGGTCCGACTGCGCCGGCATCCGCTCGCAAGCTGCCTGCGTAAGATTGCGCGTGGGCGCCCTCGCTTCCAATGCCGCGTGCCGCGCCGGCGGCCCGCGTAAATCACCGCGTGAGGTCGCTATGCCATCTCGCGTGAGATCCGTGTATCCTTTCCTCGCCCAGGTGCTGGAGGTGGCCTCGGGCGTGATCGGGGTGCCCACCGACCACCTGCTCGTTGCCGCCATTGCTGCGGCGTTCGGGCAGACTGCGCGCATCGGCGAGGTGAAGCTCAGCCTCATCGCGCAGATGCGGGACGGGCCCGGCGAAGGGCAGGTGGTCGCCAACCTGGCCTCCGCGCGGCACCTGAGCCTCTGGATCGGCGGCGGCCGCTCCCTCCTCTCGCTCGCCCTGCACCTGTCGGCACGCCTGCGGCAGCGGCAGTGGGGCCTCTCGGACCTGGTCAACCAGGACTGCGACGGCGTCTTCATCAACGTCCGCGGCCTCCCAGGGTTCGATGGCGCCAGGCCGGTGATCGAGCCCGTCGACGTGACGCGCAGGGCAACGAAGTTCGTCAAGAACGCGGTCGAGATGTGCGCGGATCAGGAGAAGCCCGACCAGTGGACTATCTGGATGGGTGCCCGCATCGAGTTCGACGGGGCGCGGTTCGCCCGCGAGATGCGGAGGGCCATATGGGGGTTCGCTGTGGACCCGTTGCAGTCGTTCTGCACGGACGTATCAGCTGATACGTTGCCAGTGTGGGCTGCGGTGTAAAAAGCAAAGGGCGTATTTTCAGCTAGTTAAGCCAAACATATCATCTTGCATTGGGACTCCAATCAGCAAGGTATTGTATTGTGGATGAGAACTATATGGTGCAAGCTATGTCGTGTGTAAGCTGTGGGGTGCGATCAATGCGGTGGAAGCTGTACGGTATCAGCTATGCGGCGCAAGCTATTCGGTGTATGCTTTGTGGTGCGAGCTACGCTGCGTAAGCTATGATGTGCACGCACGCTCTCGATCTACAAGGCATGGCGTGTCGCGGCCGCCGCAGCGGCACGCTGTGCACGGATTGCTGACTGGAAGCTGGGTGGCGCGAGCAGTCTGGTGCAAGCAATGCGTAGGGGAACACAAGAAGTGACATAAACATAACAACTCGGAGGTCCGCGCGGATTTCTCGGATCGGCGCGCGGGGCGCGCCAGGGGCAGCGACGGAGGCGCCGCTGGGGGGCCCCAGCGCCGATCCGAGAAATCTGCGCGGACCTCCGAGTTGTTGTGTTTATGCCACTTCTTGTTCCCCTGCAGGCGGCGCAGGCTGTGTGGTGCAAAGGCTGTGCGGCGCAAGGACTGCTGGGCCAGCCGTGCGGCCGCCGAGCCCGCGAGGCACCCAGCGGCGCAGGCTACGCGGTGCGAGCTGGGCGGTGCAGGGGCTGCTGGGCCAGCCGTGCGGCCGCCCGGCCCGCGAGGCGCCCCCCGGGCGGGCACCGGGCGGCGCCTGGGCCCGCGGGCGGGCCACGGGCGGGCCGGGCGGCCCGGCGCCGGGCGGCTCCCTGCCGCACCCGCCCGGTGCCTTGGGCAGCGAGCAGTGGGCTTCCCATCGTGCAGGTCGGGGGCGGCAGAGAGGAAAGACTGGTCTACTCTGTAAGAACGGTTTTTTGAAGGCAGATCTGCCTTCAAAAAATGGTCTACTCTGTAAGAACGGTTTTTTGAAGGCAGATCTGCCTTCAAAAAACCGTTCTTACAGAGTAGACCAGTCTTTCCTCAGAACGGTTTTTTGAAGGCAGATCTGCCTTCAAAAAACCGTTCTTACAGAGGTGACGCAGGCCAGCCACGACTGGGGGAGCTGTGGTCCTTACCCCCCTGGGGGACCCATCGATTTCGACACCCCTCTCGAGAGATCGTCGGTGCGATGGGTTCCCCCAGGCCACAGCTCCCCCAGTTATGGCTGGTCGGTGACTAGGGGGGGGGGGGATCTCATGGCGGGGGCCATGGTATTTCCCCAGATTTCATGGCGCCTCTTCTTATTTCATGACGTCCCGGCCCCCCCCGGGCCGCGCACGTGCCGCCGGCCATGATTTGCACCCCCCCCTCTTGGACGCCCCTCTCTTGGCCGCTCCCGAGCAAGCGCTGACTGGGGGAAAAGCCTTCCCCTGGGAGTTCACGAGTCTGTCGACCACCTCGGCGACTCCGCTGCCGCTCTCGGCCGGTGGGCCTCTTGGGCAGTCCTGAGGCCATCTTGGGTGCTTCCTGGGCGATCTTGGGGCAATCTTGGGGGCCCCCTCGGGTCGTCTTGGGCCGCCGGAAGGCAGCTTTGAAGCAACAAGTCCCCAATCCTTGGAAAACCAAAGAGCAGTCCATGATTTTGGCTTGCGGGTCTACCCGGAGGACCTCTTGGGGGCCTCGTGGGTCGACTTGTGGGCATCCTGCCAGCAGCCACGGCGCCCGGCGACCCTCGCTGCCTCTCCTCGCCCCTCCCTCTGTCAGGCCGAACGAAACGGGGGGGATGTGGAAAGGGGGGGTTGCGAAATCTGCTGCATGCAGCTGGTGTCGGCCCCGCCGCCGGGCCCATTCCTCGATACATGGGCGCCTCCCGGCGCCGGGAGGCGCTGGGAAGATCAACTACGTGAGCTGATCTTCTCGACCCTGCCCTTAAGTCGGGCCTGTCCCTCTACAGGGGGAATATTCAAAAATGGTTCAAACAAATAGCCTGGGACGATTTTTAAAACTATTTTCGAGCATTTTTGAAGCATTTTTTGATTAGTTTTAATTTCTCGCCCAAGATCCCCCTGTATGGGGGACAGTCCCGACCTAACCCTACCCCTTGCTGTCCCCCCCTTTCGCTCCCCCTCTCCCTCTGGGCCCCTCCCCTCGCCGGCCTCTCCTTGCCATGGCCCTGCCTGCTGTTTTCGCCATGCCTCTGCCTGCCTGCACCGCGGCCTGGATGCGCCTCCGCCCCTGGCTTTACGTCGGGCCTGTCCCTCCACAGGAGGGATACTCAAAACTAGTCCACAAAACAGTCTGGGGACGATCTGTTGGCTAGTTTTTTCATGGTATTTTTAGAATATTCATAAGTTTTCGCCCACACTCCGCCTGCAGGGGGACAGGCCCGACCTAAGCCTGGCTGCCTGCTCTCTCCACCATCTGCGCGCCTCACTCGGCCGGCCCCAGCCCCGCCACTGCTTCCCTCTCCTGTCGCTTGCCGTTGCTTCGGTCTCGACCGTCTGGTCAACCAGTCGTGCGGGGGTAGGACGAGGAAGAATCCGCCCCAGAGCGTTCTGGAACGCTCCCAGAGCGTTCTAGAACCCTCCGAGGAGGGCGCGACGCCCGCGACATCCTCCAGAGCCGCCGGATCTCAGAGATTCTCGATTTATCCTCACCCGAATTTGTCCTCGTCCTGGCTTCGTCTTGAAAGTGCATGCTTCCCTCAGGGGAATTCTGCTTGACCCAAAAAGGGGTCCAGCGAAATAGGGTTGGTGCAACCGAATTGGTGCAACAGATTTGTGGCGTTGTAATAGATTTGGGGCGTGCAGTACATTCCGGTGCGCAGATGTATTGCTGGAATTTCGCGTGCAGCGCGCGAGCTGCGATACAATGCAATACGTTTCTCCACCCCAGTGCATTTGCCATACAATTGCCCAAAACCTATTGCACCACCCCCTTTCAGCCCTGGGGAGATACCTAAGGAATCCTTCAGAATCCCTAGAGAATCCTAAGGAATCCCTGGAATCCCGGGGGGAATGTTGGAGAATCCCTGCGGAATCCTTGGGCGTCCCCCTGGGAATCCCCGAGGGAAGCCTTCGGGAGTCCTCGGGAATCCCTGGGGAAGCCTTCGGGAATCCCTAGGAATCCCTGGGGAAGCTGGGCCCCTGGCTGGGCCAACCAGAGGACTCCCCGCAAGGGATCCCTATGCCTCCCCGAGGCGCAGGCCCCCTCGGGGCCTCCACGAGGGGCGGCCTGTTGTAGGAGACCCCCAGCACGGCTCCAGCACGGGCCCCGTCTTGGGGTACGCTGGTCCGCTCTCTCGGCTCCTCTCCCTCTCCTCCTCCTCCTCCTCCTCCTCCTCCTCCTCCTCCTCCTCCTCCTCCTCCTCCTCCTCCTCCTCCTCCCCCTCCTCCTCCTAGGCCCTGGCCCAGGACAGGCTTGCAGCGGCCGCTTGCTTCCCGTCCCCCGCAGGACACACCTTCGCCTGCGTGTTGCTCCCACCCACCAATGTGGGCCTCCCTTCTCCAGACCGTGTTATAGAACCCTCTTTCCATGACAGACTCATGGCGGGCTGTTGCAATCTCCCAGCGCCTCAGTTTCGCTGACATCGTGATGCTCCCAGGCACACAGAAGAGGAGGCGACCAGGAGATGGCGCGACCATCCGCAAGTGCGGAAAACACTGGGAGATCGAGTATGGGTGGCAGAAGGGCCGCCTAACGAACAAAAGTGCGGGATGCTCACTTATGCTACGATGTCGTGCCTTCAGACGATCGCATATTCATCGGATCTACGAACCCCTGACCGCCCTCGCGGGAAGGGCAGGGGGCGTCAGATTGCGTTCATCGACCTTCGACATTGCCGCCTTTGTACTATACTTTCCACCGCAGCAGCGACATCAAGTCGACCACTGGAAGACTACAGTGTCCCGTCTCACAGAGTGGCTCCATGCCACAATCCAGCAGCTCCCGCGTCGTTGTCTGGTGATCGTCGGAACGGATGCCAACTGTGAATTCGGCAAGACCTCCAGTGGCAACGGCTCATATCAGTACACGGCCGACGGGATTCACGTGGGATCACACAATACGGCGGCCGAGAATTACACATCAGCGGAGTGGTGGCGCTTACTGCAGATGGAAGGATTGACAGTGGTGGATACACACTTTCCGACAGGGCCAACCTATTATGGGCAAGAGGCTGGCCACCGTTCTCACCCCGACCACTTCATCGCTCCAAGGGACACCATAGAAGCCACACTCTCTTGCTGCTCTCTCATGGGGGCCATGCGAGACCTCCAGCTCATCCCGCACGCTGACCCGAAGGATCATGCCCCCATGCTCTGGCGCCTGAAGTACCGCCTCCACTACCAGGATGACCACGAGGGCGACCCGACCTGGGACTACGACAGACTGGCGGGCTTGGCCGCGCCGCGAGGGGATCATGACCTCGTCGGGGAACTGGAACGCCTCTGCGAGAACGCGGCTGCAGCGTGGCGCAGCTCTTCTAGACAGGACGACCCCTCCGAGGCGTGGCAGTCTCTCGTCTGCAGCCTTGCCCCTCTACCAGCGCGGCGCACTACCTGGCCCGACAACAGAGTACGTCCAACAACGGCAGGTACTTCTCGAGCGCCGCCGCAACCTCAGCAGGCAGTGCAGGACGGAGACCGACAGGCTTGCCATCAGGGCCTGTGACAGGGAGATCAAGCGCATCAAACGCCGACTTGACACCCAGCACGTCGAGCAGCTACTGCGGGAAGCCACCGCCGCTGCGGAGCGAGGACACACTACGACGGTCTGGAAGCTGGCGTACCAGATTGGCGGCAGATACCACGGAGTGAGGAATCGGCGTTTCAATACGATACCACACTACCTCCCCTCCCATCGACGAGTGGACGACGACCCTACTGGCGGATGCGGCAGAAGGAGGCTCCTCGGCAGTGCAGGTTCCTGAGCCCGAATTTCCAGCTGAGATCGCCCTGGCGCTGAGAGAGCAGAATGACCCAGACGGCACGTGGAAAGATCTACGCGGATATCCCGCGGCAGCTGCCTACGACGACTGGACGGACACGCTGAGGTGCCTCCTACATGCCGCGCGCAGGCGCTACGCCCCGCCACACTCCGCGCCCACTGGGGTTCCCGACGTCAGAGATCGACCAGACCGACCACGACAAGTACCACACGTACACTGCCCACGCCTGGCGGAGCGCCTAGGGGCACTCTTTCGTCAGATTCGCGCCGCCTGTCGCACCCCGTCCTGGCGGCACTGGTCGAGGACATTTCAGCTTCCCAAAGGTGTTGATAAGGTGGGGATTCGAGCGATGAGGCTGATCCACTGTTACTGCCCTTTTGGCAAAGCCTGGTACCGAGGAATTTCCATCAGGCACCGCCGTCCTCCGCTTCCCCATCGCTCTCATGGGTGCGCCCGTCATCGATCGAGGCAGGGTGCCCGGCTGGTCTCTAAGCTACATACATGGAGGCTACGCCGACTTCGGGTCAACCACCTCCAGCTCAAGAAGGATATGACCAACGCCTTCCCCTCCACGTCCCACGACACCTTGGAGGAGGTGGTGGGCCAGATCATTCCAGATATGCAGGACCAGCTGTTCCCCAAGCAGCGCCGCACCGAGGCGGTCATGGAGGTCCGCGCGGGAGACGCCCGAGGCTTCCACGTGCCCAGGCAGGCGTGGTGCAGGCATGGGCGATCGCAACGCCTGTGAACTTTTCGTTCGAGCTTTTGTGCGACCTTTGGAGGATTGGAACCGTGAGCTTCTCCTCGCCAGCGCGGATTCCTTTCACCTCCAGGACGGCTCCATCGTTCCGTTGATGGAGGCCGCCACCCTTATTTCCTGCCCGTGCTCGGGGCAGCTAGTGGATTTGTCTCTTCGTGATTGCGCAGATGATGTTTCGCAGACGTTACCAGTGCCAGACAACAACCCTTTTCGTGCCGCGGAGGTGGCCAAGCATTCCTCGGACCTCCTGGCGGCCAAGCTCAGAGCCCAAGGCGGCTTCGCGCATAATGCATCCAAGGAGCTCGTTCTGCCTGTCTTTGTGGGCCCTGGAGGGTGCACGGCCGCCCGTGCCGTCCTTTCGGGACTCGTCTCTTTCCCTGGGCCACCCAAGGCCCAGGCGGCCTACCTCGGAGGTCTGGGGCAGCTCACTGGAGGCGCGGGGGCGGAGGTACGATTCAGGATCGACGCTACAAGATCGGCTTGGTGCAAACTGGGTCGTTTCTGGAAGCAACACGTCTCGCTCAGGTTAAAAAGAAAGGCCTTCTTGGGAGTTCTGCAGAGCGCGGCCTACGCGGGCCTGGAGACCTACCTTCTGGCCAAACGGGACTACGCCAAATTGGATGCCGTTCTCCTGGGTTTCGCGAAGGTCGTTCTTCGGGGAGTTGCCAGACGTACTGATGTCGAGGGAGTAGAACATATTCGGGTTCCACACGCCTGGCAGGTCCACAAGCGCCTGCGCATCGCCGACGCCCGCACCGAGCTCCTCGTACGCAGGTTGAGGTACTGGCAAGAACTTGCCAAGTACCCAGAATATTCCGTGCAAGCAGTCGCTGCGCTGCCGGGGAACTTTGAGGCGTTGCAGGAGGCGCCTGTTTTCACCGTGTCGGGCTGGATCGACAAAAATGCGAACCCGTGGGCCCTCCAAATGCAGAAAGACATCCTCACTCTCGGGCTCCTCCCCAAGGGCAAGCTCTTCTTGGACCAGGGCCACTCGATCAGGGACATCTTCACTCAGTACAGGGTTGCGGCTTTCTTCGCTAGTCTGGACCCCGCTGGGCTCCGCAAGGTGTATTGGGACCAGGCCTCCTCTCGACCTCTGGTGCCTCCACAGGACCTCTCGGCCCCAGTGGCCCAGCCTGTTCCAGAACCACATCAAGACTATGTGTGTGAACTACCTCTTGAAAACGGGGAACCTTGCAATTGTGCCTATGTCTCCAAGGCGGCTCTCAAGGCCCATCAATGTCATCATCCTGCTCATAAGTGCCGTGTACCTATCCATCAGTTGGTCGTTACTAACCAGTGTTTCTATTGCTCCTCGACCTTCTCCTCGGACGTCCTGGCGAAGCGACACATTGTGCAGTCGCTGAAAATGAAACGGTGCATCGCCGACTACAGCCCCTACTCGCCCGCTCTGAGAGTACCCGAGGTTTTGTTCTGCCCAGTCTGCTTGGATCCCGAAGTCGTGCATCCAGTCCATCGTGCGAGGCTCCTCCGTACCGGCGCCGCCAGGGCTCAAGGCGAGTTCCCGAGTTTTAGACGCCCTCCAGCGTCACATCAGAGAGGTCCACGCACCCCCCGCTCCCGAGATCCACTTTGATGTCGAACCTCGCGGAGCGTGCGCTGAGCATTGGGACCGAAGAACGACAGCGAGAACTCAGAGGACGCCAGCGAGGCGAGGGAGATCGTACCCGCAGCAACGAGCGAGGAGCGCCCCGCCGCTCACGAGCCGCTCGCGCAGAGGAGGAGGCCAGGGGGCGGAGCCTTCACAGGCACCAGCAGCCGCCGCAGCAGCCGCGGCAGGGCCAGCCCCCATGGTCTGGGACACCACCGACACGCACTTCGGGCTGGCCCGCCAAGATGTCGCCAGCTTGCAGCGCATGCCGATCGAGTGGGTCCAGGCCGTGATGCCCGTCCTGATGCGGTTGTCTCTCAGGCACGAGCAGGGCCTAAGCCAGCTCGAGGCCGCCAGCTACAGGCACGTGCAGTTGCCCACCAAGCACGACGTTGTCCAGTCGATGCAGCTGACTGCGAAGTACTACGGCACGGAGGCCGCCAGGATCAGGAAAGACAAGAGGGAGCAGCTGGAGTCGGGCCAGACGGTCGACGAGCTGGTGGCCCTGGGCATCCCCCACCCGCACGTGTGGATGGCGCTGGTGGGCGCCCTCGTCGCACAGGGCGAGAAGATAGGTCAGCAGAACCTGGCGGCTCTTACGCAGTACCAGCAGAAGGCCAGGCAGGAGCGCCCGACCAACAGCACCCTAGCGGACGACATTCACCATTGTCGAATGCAAAGCACCCACAATGGAGAGATGACGAAGATCTGGATTGCGGTGGACCCTCCCACGCTCGAGAACACAGTGGTCAGCTCTATGGTGCAGCTGGGGGGGGGGGGCACAAACATGGCACGCCGCCGAGGAGTCACAACGCCCGCCTCCTCCAGCTCCAGCTGCACCTCGACGGGATGTGATTGTTGCTGCGACGGGCAGAGATACTACCACCCCCTCGAGGCCGACGTGGGCTCAACGGACCCAGCGGACGTCGGCGAGTCTGCGACCCAGGGGATCCCAGAGAGTACCTCCGTCCTCGACCCAGGCTACGACTCCGTCACTTTCCGCGCCCCCGACTCAGAGGAGACCTGAGCCACCTGTGAGCCATGGAGAGCCCAGAGAATCTAGAGTAGGTCAGAATAACCTCACCCCTTCGCTTGAGTCCCCCCTCACCCTTTTCGACGATACTGAATCTCCTGGGCCTTCAGCGCTGAGCCCCCCCCCGCGGAACTTTTTGGTGCACCGTTTTTGTGGGGCGCGGGGCCTCGGCGCCCAGGTTCTTGTCGCTCTGGCGTCCTGTTGTTTCCCCCACGCGGCTCCAGAGAGCCTGCCCGCTCGGACGTCCTGGGGGCCTGGGTAGTGGCTTTGCGCGTCTCTCTCTTTCCCGTTTACAGCCCCGCCCCTTCGGCCTGCCTGTCTTTAAAACGTGACAACCCAGCCGTTGAAGGGGGCGGGTGGGAGCTCGGTGCCTTCGAGGCCACGCGCGGCCCATGATGCGAGCCGCGGCGCACTCTAGAGAGGAGCCCAGCGGTGGCCAGCGATGCGAACTGCTGCTAGAGGCTGGCACCTCTCTGAAGAGCTTCACACACACACACGCACTCCTCCTCCTCCTCCTCCTCCTCCTCCTCCTCCTCCTCCTCCTCCTCCTCTACCTTCGCTGACGAACCTCACCCGTGACGCTGGGCTCCTCGCCCTCTGCCTCCTCCTGGCGGGGGGGCTAGGCTCGGCGAAGCCTTGCCCCTCATTCCCAGCGCGCCTCCCTCTTCCTCCTCCGCGGGCGCGGCACATGCGGCGCACGTGCGTGGCGCGTTTTTTCGTCAACGAGGGGGTCGCGAATCACCAGCTCAAGATCGCAGGGTGGAACCTCTTCTCGGCCGCCCGAGCGGGGCGCATCAGAGACATTGCGGAGGAACTTAACACGTCCCACCTACTGATGATGTCAGGTATCAACTTACGAACGAAACAACGGACCCCCCATGTTTTTGAGAAGGGTTTCCGCCACTGCTTCCTTCAGTTTGGTTGGGGCAGAGGGAGCATGACGAACTCATCCGCGGGATGCTGTATCGGATTTCGGTCGTCGCGGTTTCATCCTCAAGATATTGTTCGAATCGCCACCTCTCCTGCTGAATTGCGAGGGCGCGGGGGATGCGTAAATCTATGTCAGGGGAGTTTGAGGGCCGGTCTCATTGTGCATACTTCCCCCGCGTCCTTCTCAGGGCTCCGCAGCTGCTTCTCGACGTTGGAAGGCAAGCTTTCTTCAGTTATGGGAACGGGTCGTCAAGGAGGCCTGCTCCGCCCCAGTTCGGATCACCCCGCTGATCTTGACGGATCTGACCCAGTCTCTGGGACGCGTTAGTCGAACATCAGCTACAGACGAAGCGATCGGCCCACGCCAGGCGGAAGCAGAAACTGAGCTCGGCAAGCATGTCCGTTCCTTTGTCTACATGATCTGCGTGCTCCCATTTCTTCTACGACCTCGGCTTGAGATTACTAGGCAATTCGAGAGTCCCGTTCGCGTATATATTATTCGATCGCTCCTCAAGGTGTCCTTCCGTTTATTATTCGCATTTATGTGTCAGCGCTCACACTGGCGAGTGCATTATTTGCCTCGCATGCTGGACATATCCTTATGGCACCCGAGGTTGCAGCAGAGGCATTGGCCTCTCCCCAGGAACGGGGTTGCAGTGTGTGGGATTGGGGCCTTCTGGCAGCAGGCCTTGAAGTCGGCGATAGACGTCGGGAGTTTCTTACGGACCTTAACGCGTCTTCAGACCATATACAACCGACAGTCGATACTAGCTCCGAGGATCAAGATCCTAGCTGTCACATCGCGGTGCTAGCATATGCTATTCGGCAGAGCGCAGCGAGACCCTACTCTTAAGGATCGTGCGACACCACAATCGGTTAAGGACGACAGCAAGCAGCGATTATCTTTTGTCCGCGAGCGAGCCCGTCTGCGCGAACAGAGACTTCCCCATGATACACAGGAGCCCAAGCCTGTTAACAACAGAATCAATACATGCGAGGAGTGGAAAATGAGTGGTGGAGACGTAGTGTTGAACAAGAGTTACGTGCGGCATGGAAACGACGAGAGACTGCGCGCGTGGCTGAACTTGCACGTGTATGCGCAGGAACACGCACAGGAGTACGTAAGCGTTTGTACCTCTCCCTCTCATCTGCTCGGCCGCTTGCCGCATCTGTTATCGGAGATCTCTCTTCTCCTTGGGTGGGGCGTGGATTGGCAGCGCATGAAGTTTCGGGCAGTGCGCGTGGACTCGGGACTTTGCAGCGGCGCAGCGACTGTTGGCCACCCCTGATGAAGACGTTCGTCTCATAGGTATACGGTGCGAGGAGCCTTCGAATGAGGACGTTGTCCAAAACCTGGATGATGTGCGTTGTATGTATAAACGAGTCCTTGGACAGCGCCACCGGCGCTACGGCCCCCCGCGGTCTTGGATTTTGGAGATTACCTTCATGATTTCGAGGCCCCGTTTCTTGGGCAGTCCTGGATTACCTGCGGCAGGAATCGGCCACAACGACGCCGACTATTCTTTGGGCTTGGCCCCGACCCCCCACGGTCACGTGCTCGTCGACCTGGCGAGCGTCTCTTGGGAGGATTGAGTACTGATGCAGGGCCGGACCTAAACGATGCGTTATGTGATTTCGTGGGCCGTCTTCGTTTCGACTTCGTTTTGCGGCAAAGGTGGATTGAAGACAGAACGAGGGAAAACGAAAACGAAAAACACCGTTTACGTTCAGCCCTGTAATGATGCCTTGTCTCACGGCCCTGTTGCTATGCCGGCTCTCCTAGCTCGTGTTAGATGCGCGCGACAGCTGCCTCGGCATGCCTGCGCCAATCGCGGCATCCTCATAAGCAATAAACACAGAGCCCGCGGGGGACCCTATAGAGGGCATCGGCGCGTGCCTGAGAATGATGCATTGTTTTGCCCATGGTAGAGGCTCTATGCGCGCGTCGGGGTCTTTGGTTATTGTTGCGAAGATGCGTTTCCAGACTGGGCTCGTGGGGGAATTAGAGCACGTCGGCGCGAAGGCCTCGCGAGAATTTCACAAATTCGTCGGTGGAAGCTGCGCGCCTTGTAAGCTCAGACGCAATTGGAGGAGCGAGCCCCGTCGCCGCATGACTATACTGACCACTCGCGCGAGCAGGCTGCGAATCGCATCGACGCTGCCGATCGAAGTCTGCGCGCGCTGCCGACTTTTTTGTTTGGTTTGGGGGTGGGTGGGGAGTCCAGCGAACCCGAGTTCTTCGCGTGTAGTTTTTGTGGTCCAATGATTCGGTGGAACACCCAGGCGCATGAAGTCGCTGGTCCCTTTTTTTCCAGGTCAGCTGCCCTTTCGCCCGAAAGATCCAGGGCCTTTCCGTGGGCGGCTTCATCGACGACCTCATGGCAGTTACGAGTATCCCCGACGGCGCGCCCAGGCGGGACCTCGCCCTTGACGCCATAGATAACAGTTCCCTGAATGAGCAATTGGAACAAGGAGGTCATGTGCATAACTTGGATAAGCGAGACGCTCTTCTGAAGCTCGCTACATCACATGCAACTCAGCAGGCTGAGAAGCAGAACAGTGGGAATTCTGTCAGTGACCTTCTTCATCTGAGAGGGTCTGTCAATCGGGGGGGCCAGTCATAGGGGGGTCGCGGAGAGGGCGCGGTCTTGCAACATCGGGTGGTGCATTTTGTCTCGCTGTCTTACCCCGCCTGCGCCCATGAGAAGTCAGCGAATGACTTCTCTTGCGAATGTCGCGGGCCGCGCCTGGTCGGGGCTGGAGTCGCGCGGTGTTCTCCCGGGTGAAGTATCGCGTGTAGATCGGAGTCCAGCCATGGCTATGGGTCGAGCTAGCACCGAGTCCGAGTCAGGCCAGCACCAGTCGTGGACAACCCGACGAGTCTTCGAGCACCTGGTCGACGGCCTTCACAGCGATCTAGCTGCTGATTCGACGGCCGCCATGGCGGCGGCAGATAGTGCTCGAGCCCGTTCATCATCATTCCCATTCTCTTGCGGCAACTTTTGGACAGCGCGCAATTGAGAAGACAGTTGACCAAGGCCACGTGTCCCGACCCACTGATGATCACGGCCTGCTTAGCGTGGGGTCGAATGTCCGCCCGTGGGTGCGCCGCCAGTTTCGGGGCGATTTAACACGCCTTCATCATCGCCCCGTCGGGGAACGCCTCAATGATGAATGCCCCCCCCCCCCCCCCTTGTCGCGTGAGATGTATTTTGCGACGAGCATGCTAAGCCTGCTTCTCGCGCGTGCGATTCCCGAGCTTTGCGAGCAGGATCTCCCTCTAAGGCGTGCCCCCCTGGGGACCTTCACGGTTTCGCGAAGTCTTCCCCGTAATGAGGAGGTCCAGAACGACTCCGACGATGGTGAGACCAGGCTGTCGCGCGGAATCGAAGGCTGCACGATGCGTTTTGACACGTTGCACAAGCTCACGATTCACCGGGCACAGCCCCGGGCCCCCGGACATGGGCGACGCCCGATCTCAACGACCGTCGCGCTAGACAACACATGCTTGATATGCTGGACTGCGTTTGCGAGCGTCGACCGCGCCGCGCGTCGTCGCCGTCGTTGCTGGCTCCAGGCTCGGCGCGTACCAAAACAGACTCGCCGTGCATGCGAGTGGGGGCCCACCGGGGTCCGCGTTCGCCCATGCGCCCAGGTGTCGGAGGATCGCCAGCGTCAGGCCCCCTTCCGCGAGTCTGGAAGCTCCTCGAGCCGGCCTGGTGTCGCGCATCCCTCAGTCGCGCCGTCGTCGCGGCCACCGTGGTCCCCCGCCGACACCGCGAGTGCACGCGCCGAGGTTCAACGCGCCTCGCGGCGCCTGCTGGCGCCGCCCCCGCCTCCTGCTGGAGAACTACCAGCTCGGCGACCGAGAGTTCGGCTTGCGGTAACCGCTCCGACCGCTACGCCCTCGGCACCTACCTTGGGCCCAACGCGAGGGCCGTCAACGCCCGCGGTGCCCGCGCGCCCTGCCGCGCCGCATGGCGCAGCGCAACCTGCGCGCCGCGCCGATGGAGAAATCGCGGGCGAGTTGGCGCATCCCGAAGTCATCGGACAAGTCTGGCAGCGGCGGCGGCGGAAGCATGTCCAGCGCGGAGCCGGAGGCGAAGGAGGCCGAGAAGGGCGACACGGGCAGGGGCGGGGGGAGGCGGCGCCGAGGAGGCCGTCGCCGCAGGGGCCAACGCACGGACAAGCAGTGGACGCTGAAGGACAATAACGCCACCGCGCTCCCCCTGACTCCGCGCAAGCTGGCCTTGCAGAACGCGCGCCGCACCAACGCGGCCCGCCCGATCAACGTCGCGGTCGGAGACGAGGCCGACAGCTTCCGCAACCAGGTCGCGTCGGCGCGCAAGGCGTCCGACTCGGCCGCCGCGCTGAAGAGCTTCGCCCCCCTGACGGCCAGCCTCGCGGCGACGTTCATCGAAGCGCCGTCGCAGTGCGACATCGGCGCCAAGACGAAGGTGGCCCTGGGGCAGCGGCTGACGAAGATCAACGGCTCCGACGGCGGCGGGATGGACGAGGTCCCTCCAGGGCTGCAACGAGAGGACATCGAAAAAGAAGTCTGACGACTGCGTCTAGAGAAGTGCTACAAGGACACCGACGCGAAGCTCATCATCGCGATGAGGACCTGGGAGCTGCGCCCCGCCGTGCTGGCGGCCATCGGGAACGAGGGGAAGGGGGGGATCCACGCAGGCGTATCCCCCCAGGGTGGCTGGAGGAGGAGCTCTCGCGCTGGGTCGACGCCCTCTCGCACTCGGAGATATGAGTCGGCCCGTTTGCTTCGCCAGGTCGAGTTCTCCCCCTCTCTTCGCTGAGCCTCCCCCTGCGATCCGTGCCGTCTCCAGCAGCAGCAGTGCTTCTGATATCCCTTTGGCGTCCGCTCCCAGAGGCGGCCCGCGATGTCCCTTTGGCGTCCAGGCCGGCGAAGAGGCGGCCCAAATCTTAGGAATTTGATCCCACCGATGATGAGAGTCATGGGCAGAGAGGACCCTCCAGGACATCCAGGGGATCCAGCTTCGCTCGAGAGGACCATCCGGGAAAACCAAGGGTTTCACCTTCGTTGTGATTGGGATCAACCGAGCCAAACGCACACGCCCTGCTTGAGTGCTGCTCGGGCCCCGCTTTCGCACCCGCGCTATGCGAGCTTTCGCATCCCTGCTAGCCACGGACCCACATATGCCTTGCCCCGATCTATACATGAGAGTTTTGCTGCACGAGCGATCTCGCCGAGTTCGGCGAGCCTTCGGGGCCTCGATGTGGTCGTATTCCTCCTCCTCCTCTTCCTCCTTTTCCTCCTCCTCCTCCTCTTTATAGTTTTTCTCCTCCCATTATCCCCATAGTCCTCCTCTTCCATCTCCTCCTCCTTCTTCTCGTCTCCCCCCTATGCGTTCCTACTCCTTTCTCGTCCTCCTCCTCCTCCCTTCCTCCTCCTCCTCCTCCTCCTCTTCCTCCTGCTCCTCCTCCTCCTCCTCCTCCCCATCATCATCATCATCATCATCATCCTCATCATCATCATCATCATCATCATCATCATCATCATCACCATCATCATCATTATCATCCGCATCATCATCATCATCATCATCATCATCATCATCATCATCATCATCATAGTTTTCCGCCTCCTCCTCCTTCTTTTCCTCCTCCTCCTCCTCCTCCTCCTTCTCTCCCCCATCAGGAACGATTTGGGCCCTTAGGGGCGGTCACGCGGCGAATTTCCGCCGGCCCCAAAAAGGCCAAAAAATCCTTTGACTCGGGGGCCTGAGGCTTTGAAAGTCCAAGAGACTGAACATGGTGGCCTCAGGGTTACCCTGCCTCTGAGGATTTGTGGGCCTTGAGGGGGTCTCCGCGGGATTTCAAGGCACCTCTCGCACTTGGGTTCCAACCAGGAATCCTGTGATATTGCCCACCCGCATGAGACATTTGGCCCATGCAGGCGCACCGCTTGCAGTTTTTGGTGTTCCATCGTGTCCTAGCTCGGGCTCGAATGAGACCGCCCGCGTACAACCACTGGTCCGTTTCGACGCATCCTTCGCACGCGGTGTTGATACATGAGCGGGGCGCGTACACCGTCCCCTTGTAAAAACGTGGGCAGCAGGCTTTTCAGCGCCCGCTAGGGGCGAGGGGACCGTCATCCCTTTCTTCCGCCCCTCCCAGCAATGCTTTTGGGATGTGTGCGTGCGCGTGCGTGCGTGCGTGCGTGCGTGTGTGTGTGTGTGTGTATGTGTGTGTGTGCGTGTGCGTGTGCGTGTGCGTGTGCGTGTGCGTGTGCGTGTGTGTGTGTATATATGCGTGCGTGCGTGCGTGCGTGCGTGTGTGTGTTTGTGTGTGTGTGTGTTTGTGTGATTGTGTGCGTGCGTGCGTGCGTGCGTGCGTGCGTGCGCGCGTGCGCGCGCGCGCGCGTGTGTGTGTGTGTGTGGTTTCGAGGGCTTTGTGCCGTGCATCGGCCGTAGACGGGCAAACAGCGATGTAGGCAACAGCGGTGTAGGCGTTGGTAATGTGGGAACGCGTGGCTCGCGCTTTCGTGAAATTCGCCGTGTCGTGTTCGCTCGATCCATTCGCAGATAGGAAATGTAGGACAGTGTGATTAGTGATTTCCTGTAGGTCGTTTCCCACCATCACCCTTCAGCCACATCGCCGTTAGCCCGTCCTTGCTTGGATCGGACTGCACATGATATTTGTAGCGTGAGACATTCGCAAGGTATGGGACGGCGTGTGTGGCGTACGGCATATGAGGTTGGCTGCCCGTAAGGCCGAAGCAGCTCCCCCCGAAACGCCACATAATTCCTGCGGCGCATGCTCGCGATATTGAGCATTCGATCTGTGGACCTTGACGGTGGGTCAGCACATCGGCAGCCTGTGTTGTTCGTCTTCGATGTTCCTCCATCCTGGCCGTGTTCATACAATTGTTGTTGCTTCTCTTCGTCTTACTCGCTTTTCCTCCTCATCGATTTCATTGTGCGTGCCATGTTCGCCATCACGGTCGCCTCTGATGTTGGGTGTATGGTTTCTTCTCCTCGTCGCCGTGCTCGACCTCATCTTCCTCCCTCCCCCTCTTTCTCCTCTATAGTTGTGTCTCGTCTCGTCACTCTTCTTCCGTTTTTGCGCCCGCCTTTCCTTCTCTGATTCCGCTGTTGTACTTACATGTTCCTCTCTGTCCGTGCCTCCCTCTCTCTCTGTCTCTAGATCTGTCGCTCTCTCTCTCTCTCTCTTTCTGTCCCTCTCTCTGTCTGTCCCCAAGTCTGCCTCCCTCTATCTGTAGCTTCCTTCCCCTGTTACTCGTTGTTCCTCTCTCTTCGTCTCTCTCCATCTCTCTCTCTCTCTCTCTCTCTCGTTCCCGTGTGTCCCTCTCTCTATATCCCTCTGTCTCCCTCTCTCATCCCCCCTCGTCCCCCTTCCCCCTCCCCCTCTCCCCCTTCTCCTTCCCCCTCTCCCTCGCCTCTTCCCCCTTCCCCCATTCCCCTCCCTTTTCTCTCTCTCTCTCTCTCTCTCTCTCTCTCTCTCTCTCTTCCCGTCACCCCTTCCTCTGGCTTGTGAGACAAGCAAGGCGACACGGTCAGCATCACTAAGACACCTCCAGATGTTCAGTGCCGAGGTGCTGGTCCTGACTCCCTTAGGCACGTTTTCAGGCACGCTGGAGAGGTTGCCTCCCCAGCCCTGCCACCGAGGTCTCTCGAGGGAGTCGCGCGGCACGCCCCAGGAGTGCTCGGGAGCGCCCAGGACAGCCCTGGATTTCCTCCTCCTCCTCCCCCTTCTCCTCCCACTCCTCCTCCTTCTCTTCCTCCTCCTCCTCCTCCTCCTCCTCTTCCTCCTCCTCCGCACGCTCGACTCCTCCTCCTCCCACTCCTCCTCCTCCTCCTCCTCCTCCTCCTCCTCCTCCTCCTCCTCCTCCTCCTCCTCCTCCTCCTCCTCCTCTCCTCCTCCCCTCCTCCTCCTCCTCCTCCTCCTCCTCCTCCTCCCCCTCCTCCTCCTCCTCCTCCTCCTCCTCCTCCTCCTCCTCCTCCTCCTCCTCCTCCTCCTCCTCCTCCTCCTCCTCCTCCTCCTCCTCCTTTTCCTCCTCCTCCTCCTCCTCCTCCTTTTCCTCCTCCTCCTCCTCCTCCTCCTCCTCCAGGGCTCTTGAAGAGCGCTGCAACATCCCATATTGCGGAATCGAAGGGGCATCAGGACGCTCCGCTGAGTGCCTGGCAGCACGGTGGCACACATAGCATGTGAAGTGCGACAGAGGACGGACGTGAGCCGAGAGAGGATATGGAAGAGGTGTTTGGGGAGAGACGGGAGAGTGAGAAACAGAGAGAGAGAGAGAGAAATGGTTAGAACGGAATAATCGGCGAACATGGTAGGGGAGAGCGTGACCCAGACAATTATAGTACGAGAGTGTCAGGATCAGCTAGAGGTTCCTTGGATTGTTCGCTGGAAGCTTGCAGCCTCAAGATTCAGCCGGTAAAGCTGCACGTCGATTGGTCGAGCCTCCTTGGTCCGTCGTCATTCGTTCTGATATTAGTCTGCGCCGTTGACTAAGGAAAAGTGCTTCTTGAAATTGTGGTCCAATCGGGTGCTAGGTTTTGAAACCTCCTCGAGTTCCTCCCGACGCTTCTCCGCCTATTCATGCCCCTCACCGTAGCCACTGGCCAAATGGTGCGAGCACCAGCATTCAAACACCCACCGGTACCACAACACATTTAATCCATCCATTGGCATATGCACCCATGAATTTCTTTGGCGTTGCCGCCTTAGTTAGCTTGTCCCTTGCGGGCGCTGCTGGAGCCGCTGAGGACTGTATCCTCCTCGGCCTCGTCGTCGTCTTCTTCCTCCTCCTCCTCCTCTTGCTCCTGCTCCTCCTGTCCAGGAGCACATTGTCGCCGATGCTACGGTGCTCCTGCAATCGGTGGCCGCCGCCCAGGGGGAGCCATCCCAGGATCGGCCTCACCGGGGCGACCCCGGCGACGAGGTTCACGTCACGTTCACCTTAGACTGCCGTCCGTTTAATTTGTGGCAGCACGAGATGCTGTTCCATTCTGCCCGCCTGGTGGGGTAGCGTGGTCCCATTACGGCCATAATATTAGGATGCTCAGATGAAGAGCGGGCTCACCTGCAGGAGCGCCACAGGGTTCTGAACTGGCCCGAGCAGTTTACCCAGTATTTCGTCCAGCGCTTCAACGACGCGAGGTCTGAGTGGCTGAGCAAGCCGTTTGGTTTCCAGCAGTGGTACAGCAGTTCGGGACCAGCCAGGGACGTCGTTGCAGTGGTGGATCCTGACTTTGTCTTTGTGAGGCCTCTAACAGCGAAGCTGGACACATCGGTGCTTCCTCTCGAGTGGAAGGAACCAGCACCTTCTCGAGTGCAGAAGGGCGTCGTTGTTGCTCAGCGATATGGCATAGTTGTGCCGGTGGGGGCAACTGGATTCGGCGGCAATGGCTCCTCTCCCTGGCATTTGGATTTCGGTGGAGGCAATCTGAGCGATGACGACTTTCTGACTTGGGTATGCAGTGGCGACGCGAATGGAGAGTCAGGCTGCAGAGGATTTACAAAGTACGAGATGGGCACGTTTCATGCCAGCGGGGTGCCATACATAGCTCACCGGGACGATTGGGACTGGCTTGCGCCTGGGTGGGCCAGCATCACCGCACGCCTGCACGAACATTCGCCCAGTGGCTACTACGTTGACATGTTCGGCTGGAGCCTGGCAAACGCTCACAAGGGCCACCGCCAGTTCATGATGAACAACCTCATCGCAGGGCTCGAGATAAACGATGTTTTGGCAATTTCGTGGACCGTTTTTGTTTCGAACCCGTTTCGCAGCAAAGGCAGGACGGCGACAGAACGAAGGAGTTCGAAAACGCAACGGAAGCGAAAGCATTGTTTGGCTCGATCCCTGCCTCATGTTATCCGACACCACGTCGCCAGACGTCTGCGAGGACTGGAGCGGCGTCGACGCCTCGAGGGTGGACATGTGCTACACGGACATCGAGGAGCGCATCGTCCCTCTGTCCTTCTCTCGCCCTCCCGTGCGGGCGCGGTGTGCCCAGCAGTTCGGCTCGTGTCATCGGGCAGTGCGTTTTGTCTCAGCGTCTTGCTTGGCGTGGTGTGCTTCTGTGCGCGCCTCCTGCGGTGATGTCCCAGCTCTGACCCAGACGATTCTCACATGCAGGAGCGGAGTGCGGGACAGCGTGGGCCAGCAGGTCCTATTGTCCCATGTAGGAGGAGGAGGAGGATTTTTTTTTGAGCACTTTGGCTCTCGCTGCATGCTTAAAGCACACTGTAAGTGTCAGAGAGTAAGGTGACCCCTTTCGCTTTGGGATGGAGTCCCTTACAAATCTTATTCCAAGCGTCAGAGTTGTAAACCGAAACTTTCTGCCCTGGACAAGTCTTGTTGAGAGATGCAAGGCGGGCTCCACTAGTGTATCTCTGGCACACCGTACAAACGACAACAAACGAACCGTTCGAACAATCCAGGAGGATACACTTGTGGTTTAAATCTCTAAGCCGCCGAACATCCACTCTCATAGAATCGGAACAGTGTCCAGGGGCAGGCTCTTTGTCGGCGGCGTTGCGCGACGTCCTGAGGCACCCTTGACAGATCCAGAAACGTTGGTCCCCTCCAGGAGGCCCGAGCCACTCCCACCGATGAGGCGAGGCAGAGGAGCGGGGGGCCTGAGCGGGGGCAGACCACGAGGCACGGGAGAGGTCCGTGCGCGGCCATAGTGGCAGAAGAGCTGCGCACAGTCTGACCGTCATGAGAGCCGAATTCACAAGAGTAGTGCATACGTTAGCTACCTCCTCCGACGGCGCCTGGTGGGACTCAGCTCCCAGCTTGGCGGCCTTATCGGCGAAATCATTCCCTATCCTTCGAAAACGCTCATCATCGTCGATCTCTGGATCGTCGATGGGAAGATGCGCAGGCACTTTCTCACACCCAAGCGTCCATTTTCCCCCAAGAGAACGACCCTGAGTCACGAGACCCGCATAAGGACGCTTGGGTGAGATCTGTTGATGTCGGGCCATGCCGTGCATGGAGACTACATTTTGGCAATCTGAATACAGAATAGCTGGTGCAGACAGGAAAGCGCACGCCATGGCATAAGCCGAGAATTCTCCTGCCTGGGGAGTCTGGGGGCAACTGTCCCACACGGGGCCCCAGCTCCAAGCTAAAAGATTCGACTGGGGGCCCATCATCGCTAAACCCCAACCAGCCCGATTCGAGCTGCGGACCACCCGTCGCGAACACGAGCCATCAAGGAAAACGTGGCCCCACATCTGGCGGCGGCCGTCGCGGGGCATCTCCATGCCTTCAGCCGCGAAGTTTTCAGGAAAAAACTGAAACTGGATACCATCATCCTCCTCGGTTCTACTGTCGGACTTAGGGGGCGGGAGCACACTCTGGGGGTGGCCAAACAAACCAGAGGTAAGGTGGAACCGCTCTCTCTCCGAAACCGCTCCGAACTGACACAAAACCTGCTCCAGAGTACTGCGAGGAATCAGCTCCCCTCTCTACTCGCTCAGTCGGATGTCGAGCAGGGCAATGATCCCTAAAGGGTACGCGATGCATTGTAGAGCACGGCATGGCATGGCGTAGAAGAGCACCGCAAAGCGTAGTATCAACCTAGCATTGCATTGCATGCCGTGGCATGGCACGGAAAATGACGCCAGCGCTGCAGCGGGAGCACGAGTCGAAACGAACGGAAGCGCGGAAATGAGGCCAGCGCTGCAGCGGGAGCACGATTCGGAACGAGCGGAAGCACGGAAATGAGGCCAGCGCTGCATCGGGAGCACGATTCGGAACGAGCGGGGCCCGAAAATGAGGCCGGCGCCTCAGCGAGAGCAGCATTTGGGAAACAAATGCAGGCGAAGACCCAATTCCGGGGAAACCTGTGTGTAAAAAAACAGTACGCGGGGGGGGGTCGGTCATTTTCAAACCGTCATCAGGGGAAGAGGGAGAGTAGTATTCATATTGCGTAATTGTGGAGGAGGGGAGAGGAGGGGGAGGAGTAGGAGGAGCAGGAAGAGGAGGAGGAGGAGGAGGAGGAGGAGGAGGAGGCGGAGGATCTGGTGGAGGAGGGGGTCGCAAACATGGCCGCGCGCTGGCACGGGTCTGGGTGCGGCGAGCAAGCTCTGGGCCCATGGCACAAGAAGCATCTTGCACGGTAGCCAAGTGCTCTGTGCTGACGGACAGCGCGAATATCCACGAGCCCAGCGAGGCCCGCAGGAATCTCGGAAACTCCGCCCAGATCAGACCGGGGAGCTCGTTTGGCCTTGGTGGCGATTTCGCCCCGGGGCTGGAACGAAGGCCGCCCCGGAGCAGGAGGAACAGGAAGAGGAGGAGGAGAAGGAGAAGGATGAAGAGGAGGAGGAGGAGGAGGAGGAGGAGGAGAAGGAGGAGGAGGAGGAGGATGAAGAGGAGGAGGAGGAAGAGGAGGAGGAGGAGGAGAGAGGAAGAGGAAGGAGGAGGGGGAGAAGGAGGAGGTGGAGGAGAAGGAGGAGGAGGTGGAGGAGGAAGAGGAGGGGAGGAGCAGGAGGAGCAGGAGGAGGAGTAGGAGGAGGAGAGAGGAAGAGGAGGAGAGGGAGGAGGAGAGGAGGAGGAGGAGGAGGAGGTGGAGGATCTGGTGGAGGAGGGGGTCGCAAACATGGCCGCGCGCTGGCACGGGTCTGGGTGCGGCGAGCAAGCTCTGGACCCATGGCACAATAAGCATCTTGCACGGTAGCCAAGTGCTCTGTGCTGACGGACAGCGCGAATATCCACGAGCCCGGCGAGGCCCGCAGGAATCTCGGAAACTCCGCCCAGATCAGACCGGGGAGCTCGTTTGGCCTTGGTGGCGATTTCGCCCCGGGGCTGGAACGAAGGCCGCCCCGGAGCAGGAGGAACAGGAAGAGGAGGAGGAGGAGGAGGAGGAAGAGGAGGAGGAGAAGGATGAGGAGGAGGAGGAGGAGGAGGAGGAGGAGAGGAGGAAGAGGAGGAGGAGAAGAGGAGGAGGAGGAGGAAGAGGAGGAGGAGGAGGGGGAGAAGGAGGAGGTGGAGGAGGTGCAGGAGGGTAGGGGAGAAGGACGGAGGAGGTGGAGGAGGAAGAGGAGGGGAGGAAGAGGAGAGGAGGAGGAGGAGGAGGAGGAGGAGGAGGAGGAGGAGGAGGAGGAAGGAGGAGGAGGAGGAGGACGGCGGGGATTGGTGGAGGAGGGGGGTCGCAAACATGGCCGCGCGCTGGCACGGGTCTGGGTGCGGCGAGCAAGCTCTGGGCCCATGGCACAAGAAGCATCTTGCACGGTAGCCAAAGTGCTCTGTGCTGACGGACAGCGCGAATATCCACGAGCCCAGCGAGGCCCGCAGGAATCTCGGAAACTCCGCCCAGGATCAGACCGGGGAGCTCTCGTTTGGCCTTGGTGGCGATTTCGCCCCGGGCTGGAAACGAAGGCCCGCCCCGGAGCAGGAGGAACAGGAGAGAGGAGGAGGAGGAGGAGGAGGAGGGAGGAAGAGGAGAGGAGAAGGATGAAGAGGAGGAGGAGGAGGAGGAGAAGGAGGAGGAGGAGGAGGAGGAGGGAGGAGAAGAGGAGGAGGAGGAGGAAGGAAGAGGAGGAGGAGGAGGGGGAGAAGGAGGAGGCGGAGGAGGAGGAGGAGAAGGAGGAGGAGGTGGAGGAGGAAGAGGAGGGGGAGGAGCAGGAGGAGCAGGAGGAGGAGGAGGAAGAGGAGGAGGAGGAGGAGGAGGAAGAGGAGGAGGAGGAGACTCCCGATAAATACTGCAGGTGTTGCGCGGCAGTCTCGGCGTGCGGGGCCCGCCTCGGGGGCCCCTGGGCCAGGGCCGCTGCGCACTGTTCTGCGGCGGAGTGCCGTGAGCAGCCCTGCTCCGTGGCGGAACAGGGGGCGCAGACGGAGACCCCTGGAGGGACGCGGGAAGCCACGGGAGACAACCGGGGCCAAGGGGCGACTCCGGGGGACGCCGGGAGGCGACGGGAGACAGCGGCGCCCTGCCGATCACGGATCACTGTCCACTCGAATTCGATGTCGTGGGGAATCGAATATCCCCCCGCCCCGGATAAAACAGTACCCCCGCCCGTTAACCCCCTGAATATGTACGATCCCCGTCTCAATAGGACTTGATTGTGGAGAGGGGCGGCGAGGCCGAACTTGATTATCCCCGGGGGAAGATGCGAATCGAAGTTGCTATCATCTTATGTTGACTAGCAACATCATCAAACACGCTGAGCATGGCAATGGTTGTCTCACCATTTCAGCTTTCGCAATCACGAGCGTGTGGCAGGGCTATGGAACGCTCACCATTTCAGTTTGAACGTGCGGCAGGGCCATGGGGTTCTCACTTTCTCAGCCGTTCCCGAGTCAGGAACGTGTGGCAGGGCCATGGGGACCGATTGGATTTTGAAGTTGCTTGCGCTTCTCGAGCAGGTAGAGCATTGCATTTATCCGTAAGGGCTTCGCCCCCTGCCGCCGGCCCCCTCTCTCGGAGAATGGGCCATGGAAGAGCTAAGTCATGAGGCCTTGGCGCTGTCGTGAAGCAGTATCGAAACTTCATGCGAAGCCGAGTCGCAATCAGCAAAACCAACTGATCACAAGAGGGGTTACCACACCTGGCGATTGGTAAGACGTGTATGGTTTAAGGGCTTGGTTACCACACCTTGCGATGAAAGGGCCGAGGGAGTTCTCGCAGTTTGGGTTACCACGCCTTGCGATGGATGTGCGTGAAGGGTGGCACCGAATTTCAGAAATGTGGCAAATCCCCTGTGTTTTTGGACCCTGACCCCGCGGATCTGCGTGAGGGGTGGCACCGAATTTCAGAAATGTGGCAAATCCCATGTGTTTTTGGACCCTGACCCCGCGGATCTGCGTGAGGGGTGGCACCGAATTTCAGAAATGTGGCAAATCCCCTGTGTTTTTGGACCCTGACCCCGCGGATCTGCGTGAGGGGTGGCACCGAATTTCAGAAATGTGGCAAATCCCTGTGTTTTTGGACCCTGACCCCGCGGATCTGCGTGAGGGGTGGCACCGAATTTCAGAAATGTGGCAAATCCCATGTGTTTTTGGACCCTGACCCCGCGGATCTGCGTGAGGGGTGGCACCGAATTTCAGAAATGTGGCAAATCCCATGTGTTTTTGGACCCTGACCCCGCGGATCTGCGTGAGGGGTGGCACCGAATTTCAGAAATGTGGCAAATCCCGTTTTGGACCCTGACCGCGGATCTGCGGGAGGTGGCACCGAATTTCAGAAATGTGGCAAATCCCATGTGTTTTTGGACCCTGACCCCGCGGATCTGCGTGAGGGGTGGCACCGAATTTCAGAAATGTGGCAAATCCCATGTGTTTTTGGACCCTGACCCCGCGGATCTGCGTGAGGGGTGTCGATTTCGAGCCCCCCCAGCAATTCAGACAACGCGCCCAGGGGGTGCTAAAAAATTGTTTGGGCCTCCCCCCCCCTCGCGCGGTCAATCAA